AAACAATGCGTAATTTTCGCGATTTTTGCAGTGAATGTATTTCCTGCACGCTTCTTTTCCGACCCTTCATTACAGAAATATGTTAATTAGTGATTTTCTGTTCACGAAGAGAACATGCTTACAGCGTAAATATCCTAGTAGGAATATTATTCGTACACAATGCATGAATGTCAACCCTTTCCAAGTGAAATGTGCTCGAGATACTGTACTTCTAATTTGATGAGCTACCTGCAGTACTCTACTCGATTTTTGCACAGACCCATATGAAACTTGTGGTAAACGTTGCGTTCCACCTGAGTAATTTTTCTCCTCTCACCGAACTCACACGAGAGAAAACAACTATCGAAAGAAAAATTGGAACTTCGATCATCCGTGAATCAGGTCAACCACCTAACACTGAAAGACAAGCAATGCGTTACATGAACCTAGAATTGTTTTTCCATTAGTAAATTTTGATATGTTTTTTATCTCTGTTATTCCCGCCGTATAAAATCTCAGCGGTTTTCAATGATCCGTGATTTTCCACTCTCGAATCAAAGTACTGTAATAAGTTGAAAGCTCGGAACGTTCAGCATCGAGCCAGCAAAAAATAAAGTGAATGACATAAAAAATGCAATGCCAGAAGCGGAATCGCGGCTCAAGAACAGCGAAGGAAGGCAATAATCAACACTTGTTGGCATCACGCAGTCATGATTCTAAAGAGGGAATAAAAATGGCTTAGTAAAAAAAACACTTCCAGCAACGGCCGAGACTAATTCTCAGATAATTGATTACACATGGGGGCAAAACAGAAAAAAAGGCGCATCGAATAGGGCAACAGAGATCACGCCAATGGAAACAGGTGCCCAATTAATGCGTCAATATACTCATCAAAAGAGCGTGTAATTTAAACTTCCGGTGCCACAACGAGCAAGGGAGTAGAAGGAAAAAAAATCACCCCACACGCCCTCGGTGTGCCCCGGCAAGAAGAAAAGCATCTTCCCTACAGGAAGCTGGGGAAATAAACGGCGCCTTCCCAAGGTCGGAGCCCGTGGCTCAAGGGCCCTCATTTACACGCGCATCTGGCCAGCATCAAACCAAACCCTCCTTTTCCCAATTGCTCACAGGTACCGGCGGAGGGAATATGAAAGCCTGACCCAAAAGTCAAACGAAAAACATAGGAGACGGCTGCCAGGGAAAATTGAAAGCGTGGGAGGGTTTTCCTACACCCGGCTCCGGGGACGGAAGCTGGGTATAAAATGCTGCACCAGCATCTCTGCGAGTCCAATTTGGAGAAGCTCGACCTCTATTATTATTCTCATTACGCCACGCGCAGTTTTCCCTCCTTTTTATCGACGAAGCGTGGGAAACTAGCTGCCTTTTTAGCACAATATTGGGCAAGACTTACCAGGATAAACCGACATTCATAAGTTTGTCGTGCTTGACGTACGCAAGCTTTAATTTATACAAAAACCCCGAACAGTACGCTCGTGGAAGGGTCAAACCGAGAGAAAATCGCTCCGCGCAATATTTGCGCACTATTACTAGTACTGTATTACAGACTCGAAGTGTAATACGTTCAATGGCATCAAAACCTCATTTTTGTCATTACTTCCTCGATCTGCACACGCAGCCTTCACCTGTAAAACATCTCTGTGAGAAAACAGCTCACAGTACACGCGTTTGAATCATGAGGATTTAAAATAAATCCATCACTAAAAATATCTTACAAAGGTAAGAATGTTTTCGGAGAAACTTGTGTTTGATTGCGATCACAAGAAAAACGCAGAAAAAAATTCGTTAGCATTTTCCAAAAATTGGTCGAACAATGAGCACGGGGCTCGCATTCCTCGTGCTGTTGATACATCTGCAAGTACAGCAAATTTTCCAAAATTATTCAAAGGCGAATAATTTTTTCATAGTAGAAAGGAAGTACGGTACTGTACAGCAGTTGACTTCCCGTTGAATCGATTCGTACAAAAAATACGCGAATAAAATGCACGCACACATGAAGTACCTACGGAAACAACTTGACGGAGCCAAATTGACAAAAGAGGTCAACTTTTTTGACGCTAAAGTAAAAAAAATACTGTCTCGCGTAAAATGGGAGAAACTAAAAAAGAGGTTTCACGAAAATGTTAATATCGAAGAACTGATTGCTGTATAATTCTGCATCATCTTTCAACTGGTCACGATGACCAAGCAGTAATGTTGCGCCCTCATTTACCACGGACATACTGATAATCATCAGCAGTGCCGACGACCACGTTCTTCATCGACATCCGTCAAACGGCGGAAAATCCGAACGCATCGCGGAAGCTGAGCAACTTCTCGTTCGCTGGCGCCGTCGGTGAAGCGTGGCTCCCTTCGGCGCGCCGGAAGACGCAGCACTCACACTTCTGACAAAAAGCGCAAGTAAATAAACCGAGAGAAACCGACAGGCAATAAAACTAACTGCCGAAGCAAGAAAAATAAATTACGAACAGAAACTGAGCGTTGCAATGCGAATCAGCACTTCCGGAAATTTAAACCGAAAGATAGAGAAATCCGTTGATATTGACAAGAGCAGCTCAAGGCAAAAATTTCAGTACTTGCTGAAAAACCAGATTCGAATTAGAGATTTGTGAAACAGCTGCAAAACGCTTGATGTCTTCAAGGAGGCAAGTTTAAAGTCAGAGAAGAAAAGCAAAAAGCATGCACTGACCCTTCATTGCAGTAGTGACTAGAATACTAGATCACAATTTCTCCGCTGATTCTATTTCACGAATCATGGCTTTCATTATCTTGGATTTGGTTCCTCAGATATTTAAATAAAATATTTTGTAACGTCGCACTCATCAATTTAAATGAGGGGAAGGTGAAAAATTGTAGTTTTCAGAATTATAATGGCATGGCATGTATTTTGTACTGATTCGTTGGGCTGATCTTCGTGAGCGCGCTTCCCTATTCACATCCAGGTTATCAGAATCATGTTCTTGAAGAATGTAATTTTTCCTCTTTCTTTGGCCTCACGGGCGATCTGTGATCACCGCTGGCTAAAAGAAGGAAACGAAAAGAAACAGATGCTGCGATGTAGTACAGAACATCGAAGTCATCCCTGCAGGGAGTGGCTCCAGAGGTCAAGAACGCGACGTATCACGCATATAACAATCCATTGTACTATTGTAGAGATCTATGAGTCACGAACAACGCAATGGGTACTCTTGGCTGCGTTGACCAGCTTAACCCCATTATCTTTAAAAAAAAAAAAAAAGCGATTCATCGTTCACATCAAAGAGCATCATGAAACAAACGAAAAATCAGAAACTAGTCGAAAACATCAAATTGGAGAAAAGTCAGGCGTTTCAAGCTTAATGAAATACGGTACGAACATGGATCTGACCAGCTAGATCGATCCATCGATCAAAAGGGAATCCTGCACGATACCTCGAGCAAAACAACCATGAAGTTAACGATAAAAGAACGCAATTCAAAAAGACATAAAAATGTAACCATTAATAGAGAGGGGTTCGTATCCATAGATATTTTAATGGGATTCCTGTGAGCAACATCATGACAGGACATTAAGATGTACTGTATCCTTCTCGAAGAGGTTTCGAAAATGCCTTCAAATGAGTTTTACATACAACTGTATAGCTTGACGCGCATCTGACACGATTAAAATCAATGAACATGGCAGTATACAATGTATCTGATATACTGTGCAACAAAGCCAGGAACAGAATTATACATCACTAGATTCATTACGATTGGAACACTCCAAGAAAAGTTGGCTCACTCACCAGCAAGAAACAATCCAATCCAATCACCCAAGGCGGGCAGGTCAATCAATTTCCAGCTGACGCAAATCATTTCCCCTAGGGTGACACGGGATTGACCGACGAAAAGCTCCGCTTCTTCCTTCGATTTCTCACTCGAAGCCATGGATGATGATTCGCAACGATAATTGAAGCATTTTGCTTCATTCCACAACGCGCGAAACTACGAGAGGTGTTTCTATGCTCAACATGCTGAGGCCCGGACATATCATTCACGGCAGGCCATTATGAAATGAACCGATTGGCGCGCTGAAATTAACGATAACCTAACCTCTAGCACAACATACTGGACGAAAGAGACGAAGACATTTTCAAACTCGGACTCCGTTAAGCAATGCAATGATTGAATAATAGTTCTACGTTCAGAAGCTCAAGATCACATGGTATCGGAACATCGATACATCAGATATATGATCTACATAAACAAAATAGGCCGTCAAGAGGCGGGATTCAATCAAAATAAAGTTAGATGGCACACATCAACCTGTGTCAGGTTCACTTTCGCATCACTGGTCACTCCTGTACGTGCTAAACTCCGAAGAAATCTACAGGATCACGAATACACCAACTTCAACAAGACGTTGAAATATGTAATGAACTTCTTGAAAGATATCTACATGACCAATTGGTAACTGCGGAATTCCACATGAACCTCGACGCTGGAGAAGATGCCAACTCTACTTATTGTGCATCAAGTGCTCCATAAATAAAATCCAAGACTGGCGTTCGAATTCATAACACTCATCCACCGTCTCTTACCGCGCAGAAAACGATCAACCGAGAACTGCGAAAATTCACGAGTGTCACGCTGGGAAGCCCGGAAGAAGTACCCGGCGCCGCCATGTTTCACCAATGCCTTCATCTTTCACTTCTCACGCGATCGACATCTATGATCCAAAAGCCTTCCAACGGCTCGGTTGCTAATTCTCGTCACAAACGAGTCTCGTTCCCGCAGTAGAGTTACTGGATCACCCGTAAGCCCAAAAAATGCCTTTCTCTTTCAAATTCGTCAATGTCGGATTTATTTGGAAGTGATCTATGGTTAATGCATGGATAGAGAGATGGAGGGATGGGTAAAACAGGGCCGCGCTCTTATCGCCACCCGGTTATTGCTGCCTGCTTGTGTGACGCGAGCGGAGAGTGGAAAGGAGATTACAGGAAGTGGATCCGTGTTAATTTGCTTGTGTTGATTATAGTATATGGATTTTTCTTTCGGAGTAGAAATTTTATCTTGCGTGTAGTTTTGTTTGAGTTCGATACTTTAAATGTCGAACGTTGTGCTTGAAGACCCTGACAGAGCCACTGAGGCTGATGCAGAAGAAGATGCGGACGAAAAACCGAAAAATTCACGAAAAAAGAAGTACGTACCCACTTTTTATGTTTTCCAATTAGATTATTCATGAACAATTTTTTAGGAAAACCAAGCGATCGAGAAAGCCGTCCCAGGGAATTTCGGATGGTGTAGATGGCTCTCCAGAAGATTGCAGTGACAAAGGATCCCCTGATGTGAAAGACGGTGCCGCCGGAGATGATTCTCAGGACAAATCCGGCGCTGCAGACGGTGCGGCAGATCTTGCCGAGGTTCTTCAGACAGCTTGTTCAGTTTTGAAAATATCCGATCAAAAAATGGTGCGTTTTCGGAGAAAAGAGTGGGCATTTTATGGTTTTTTAAGAGTTGATTGATTCAGATTTCCGACTGGAAGAGTTTCGAAGTGGATCAATTCGGGCCACCTAAGGAGCACCTGTTCTGGAATACTCAGCCTGTTCCGAAAATAAGTGGGTTTGCGTTGGATTATATCTGAATTGCGGTATTGATTTTTTTTCCCACTCGCAGCTGAAAAAGTGGACGAGTGCGGGGTAATTGAGCCAAACGTTCCCGTGACGGAAATTCGTCAAGAGCCTTACTCTTTACCAGACGGATTTTCGTGGGACACGTTGAACATTGACAATGATGCGGAACTGAAGGAGCTTTACCTATTGCTGAATGAGAACTACGTCGAAGACGACGATAATATGTTCCGTTTTGACTATTCGCCAGAATTTCTTCGTTGGTATGAATACTAAATTGCAAGAGTCTAGTATATTTGTTGAGAATTCTTGGCCCCCCCCCCCCTAAAATAGGGCCTTGCAACCTCCCGGTTGGGAACGAGAGTGGCACTGTGGTGTTCGAGTTACAAAAAATCGGAAGCTTATTGGGTTTATATCCGGTGTGCCTGCGGATATCAGCGTTTTTGGAAAGGTCATCAAAATGACAGAAATTAATTTCTTGTGTGTTCACAAGAAATTACGTTCCCGTCGGGTTGCGCCTGTTCTGATCAAAGAAATCACACGCAGAGTGAATCTGAAGGGAATCTTTCAAGCGATTTATACTGCCGGAGTGGTGATACCGAAGCCCTTCTCCGTATGCCGGTACTGTATTTTAGTAATGAAGTACATCTCTTCTTTTCACCTGGGATTAATTTCTGCGTACGTTAGGTACTGGCATAGAAGCTTGAATCCGAAGAAACTGATCGACGTCCAATTTTCTCATTTGGGGCGAAACATGACGCTTCAAAGGACAATCAAACTCTACAGACTTCCCGAGGACACGAAAACGCCTGGATTCCGTGAGATGAAAGCTGCCGATATTGCGCCTGCGAGGAAGCTTTTACAAGAAGTAATATTTTTTTCCCTATGAAGATTGAATCAATAATATATCTGTCATGTTTCAGTATTTGAAGAAATTCGATTTATCGCCAACATACGACGAAAACGAGTTTCGGCACTGGTTTATGCCGCGCACTGACATCATAAACTCATTTGTCGTTGAGAACGATAAAGGCGAAATCACAGGTATTCCTTTTGTACAGTATATTTAAATTTATATTCTTCACCGTGCGTGATTTTTTTTTTTTGCTTGCGCAGATTTCGTTAGTTTCTATACACTACCGTCCACTGTGATGCACCATCCAACATACAATAGTCTGAAAGCAGCCTATTCATTTTACAACGTTTCTACGGTGACTCCGTGGCCTGATCTCATGCAGGACGCCCTAATAACTGCGAAGAAGGTATGTATGCTCCAGCTTGAGATTTCTTATGATGTTAACTTTTTTTTTTTCATCAGCTTGGATTTGATGTTTTCAATGCTCTTGACTTGATGGACAATGAAGCTTTCCTTGAAAAGTTGAAGTTTGGTATTGGAGACGGAAATTTGCATTACTACCTGTTCAATTACAAATGCCCCGGTATAGTTCCTGACAAGGTAAGAACTACATCAGTTGAGAACATTTTTGCCCTGTAATTCCGATTCATGTTAAATGGAACGTGCTCTGGCGTCATCTACGAATAGTTTGCCTGAACGTGGGATACCTAGAAAAAAGTATCATTCTCTTTTCAGGTTGGCCTCGTTTTGCAATGATTACCTGGTGATAATTAGAACGGGCATCAATTTGTCTACTGTCCTCTGATTCGCTGATCACATCTTTGCTTGCCGAAAAGTATTGGCGATCTTCACTTCTCCAAGAAATCGCGAAGGTGTTAATCTGCAAAGCGGGTTGTTGCGGATAAACCTCTTGATTTGAACCATCCAGGATTAATATTTTATTGCAATCTTTCGAAAGCGTTGGATTCGAGTTCAGTTTATGATGATGCTTGAACCTGGTCCTTGCAACTGTTCATTCGTGTTCGCTTGATCGATGGCTGCGCGCTGTCTTTGAGTCAACGTCAATTTTGTGCCGAACCGAGTATTGTGTCGTCGTTGAATAAAATCGCTTCGGTTGTTTCATTGGAAAGGTCCATCCTGTGCTAGCAGTGGTGTTACTTGTGGTGTTTAGTAATTACACTCGCACGTTGGGGAATTCGACTCTGCGTTCATCCTAGAAGAGATAAAATAAACGTATTTCTGTGGCAAGATCTGAACAGTTTTTGATTGTGAGACCTCTAATTCATGAAATACTTGGCGGATTTTGACGCAGGGATGGCTACACCTGTTGCATGTGCTTTCCGGCTATTATTTTTAATATATTCACTACTGGAAAATGTGTCATGCGTTGCCGACCGGTTTGAAGAAAGCGTCCATATTCGTCCGCTTCCTGGGGAGCATGTGTATTCTCGATTCAGTTTTATAATATCGTCTGTCGATGACATCAAATCTGATTCATGTAAGAAGATGCTTTCCATTGAGTATACTAGCGTTTAAAACTCATTTTTTATTTATTTATTCAGGGAATCATTACGACCTGTTTCCCCGTGCCTTGGGTGAAATTCTCACCAAGTCTTCGGTAGAGGAGGTTCACCTGAGTCTAACAAAAGGACTGTGGAGAACTTCGCAATGGGGTTACTCGTCCCGACCGGCGCCCAATGGTGCTCAGCTTTGGGCATGGTTCGAACCGTCAGTTAATGTCTCACAGTAAGCTCACTCTAGCGACCGAAGGACGATATTTTCATTGATTTAGTAAAATAAATGCATTACAGAGTAGATAACAAATGGGTCGAATTGACCGATGCTTTGGCCGGCTTGATGTGCGCATCCTTGAGAGCTGTTGGTTTTGATACAATCACACCAAAGGCTTCCTTCAGGCCTACTGCTGATTCTCTCAAGATTGGCGAAAACCCTCACTTAATACGGTATTCGTCTCTTCCGCGGGAGACTTTCTGTACGGAAAACCTGACGCCATGGGCGAAGATTCTTCCGTGTGATGTCAAGGTTAGTCCCGCGCTGATGAACTTGGAGTATCAAGAAGAATTTTCCAAAATTTTCGGAAATTCTTTTGCGTTTCTTTGAACTATTTGAAGAAAAATCGACGATAGCGGGGAAATTTCAAATTTTTTGAAATCCGAGATGTGCAGAACTGGGACAAAGAAAGTGAATTTTCCCGAATCTGTCTCAGTCATCGTTCGAAAAAATTTGGAAACAATGTTCAAACAACTTTTGGAATTCGCCAGTCTATACAACGGAAAGTATTGTTTAGCTGACAAGTTTTCTGGGCATTGTAAGACGCGCGTAGTTGGGACACTCGCTTCACGAATTCCTTCTACCCTTGTAAGGAGGCCTTTGACAATTTTCTTCTCGAATTTTCAATCCGCGTTCAAAGAAACTGAAACCCTGACTTTGAATCCTTAAAAAGGTATTGATGAAACTGTCGCTTGACTTTTTTTTTTTTGCCTGAACTCTGTACTGTATTAGTTAAAACACTGCGATTACAATGTGATCTTCAGTACTTTTTCTGGTCCACACCGTACTCAATTGTGATGTAAAAACTTTTCAGAGTGGTATTGGATCTCTACTGCATGCTGCTCATCTGTTTGAGTCCGCGTATCACTCCCTCGCCATTGATTTTGTGCGGAATCCAAGAGATGTAAGTTATCAATCAATTTCACATTCTCGGAAGTCCAGGGTGATCACGCGGAGGGTCTCTATTTATTTATATTATTATCCACAGGGGGACTCCTCCAAGATTTGGTTGTCGTTTAGCTTCTCCGTGGTGCACAGTTCTCTTCTATTGAATAACAACGCAATGAAAACCTGGTCGCTTAAAAGTCTATTCGGCACGATTCCGACCTCTTCTTGCGACGTGGCAGCATCATCCAAAATCTTGGTCGACTCGGACTTTGACCCGGTAATATAATCCACTGTATATGGGGGGAATAAATTCCTGACTGATGTATGAATTTAGATGGGGGATTTCATCTTGGCACCGCCACCTTCGTCTGTCTCGACTATGCATGGAAGAAAAATAGCTGTGTATGAATTGGTAAATATGCTGAGGACAGGTTCCGACATGAATATCCGAGCAGCGTATCGCGACGTCCTTGATCTGAATGCGGTTGCTGGTCTTCCTGCCCCTCCACTGACCGTTTCTAGATATATCACTGGTATGGATCCTGGATTCTAACCGGGGAATTATGTTACTCATTTTTAGTTTTACTCGTTCAAAAAGGATACGGTTTGGAAAGAGGCGGAGTAAAAACGGAAATTCGATATGCTGCCAGCGAAGAAAACTCGGCATCTTTGGTATACCTGCAGTATTTCCCGTGGTATATCCGAGTGTATTTGCATACACTGAAAGTGAGGATCGAAGGAGTTACTCTTGAACCTGGTGAATATTCATCAGCCAACAATGATCCTCCATGGAATATTGCGACGGAAGCCGTTTAAAATTCGATCACGTGTAGTCAGGCGTTTACTGAGCGAGATTTGCGATCTAGTCTAAGATGCTTCTAAACCTGATGGATCATTTATTCAATTTTTTTCATACGAATCGACGTGGTAATTGTACGCAAATTTTCAGATGAGGTCTTCTTCTCACCTGGGCGTGATCGCAAGCGTCCTCATGTGATCGAGTTGAAGCTGAAGATTCCGAGTAACAAGAAGTGCACTGTTGAGATAGAATTCGAAAGGGCTTTATTGAAATGGACAGAGTACCCTCCAGATGCAAATCATGGATTTTATATCCCTGCTGGAGTCATTTTCGCTCGAGTATCGGCGAATTCATTGCGTCCTCCGCAGTTTAACGTTTCCTCCATGATACCCATGTCGAGGTGAGTTAATGTTTTGTTCATTGTTTTCTGATCGAGCAAATGTATCGCATTTTTCTTGTAATTGAAGCGTGGAGGTTAATGATGATCACGCGGAGATGATTATTTATACGGAAACCTTGCTGGTGTCCTTGCCTACTCCGGATTTCAGCATGCCTTATAACGTGATTTGCCTGGCGTGTACTGTGGTGGCTTTGGCGTTTGGGCCGCTGCACAACATAACCACAAAGCGGTATGAAGGGTTGGTCACTGTTGTGACGAGAGCTTTTTGAAAACAAATTTCCGTACTACGCAGATTGACTGAAGTGACAAGTGACCAGAGCCAAAAAGGGATCATTTCTCGACTAAAAAGCTTTTTTCGGAAGAAAACGGAATCAGATGAGGTACGGAAAGTCTCACTTGACGACGGCGTGGACTCAGAAGTTATCGAGCCAGGGTCAAGAGCCGATGATTGAACGCTCGAAGTGTTCGCAAATGGAAGATCCGAAAGAGCGGTGGATTTGCATTCAAATTACCTGTGATGCTCCTCGTTTTATACGTTCGTTGTATGAATCTTCACCTTGAGGGTAAATGGAGTGTTTCCTGTATTACGGTCGTTCTGATTATTGAGTTATCTGCGATATCGTTCGTTTTGATATTGAAGTGAACACTTTGGCATTATAGATCTTTACTCATCGAAGAGGCAGTCATGTCGATGCACCTACCCTCATTTCTTTCTTGGGTAGCTTTCAAAAAAGAAGCGGAATCAAATGCAGTAGTACTGAGAAGCCGAATGTCTATCCGCAATGAAAATTAATTTTGGGTTATTTTTCTCTTGTAATAATTCTAGCTTATTTTTGCTTATTTCAGGTCCTTGGGGTTTTTTGTTGACATATCTAGTATTACCTATGGAAAATTTCCATTTGGAATGATATTGTCATCCGTTCAATGAGAATTTTCGTTAAGTATTTTGTCTGTGCAGATGTTCGTGGCATTCCTGTTGATGCTCTCAGGCCTAAAAAGTGGTCGAACACATGCAGTGGTTCCGATGAGAATGAAGACAGATGACTCCAATTTGTCAGGGTTTCATACAGTCGAGTACTGCAGATGGGAGATAGAATCTCAATAATGGTAGAAATTCTTACTTTCCGACCGTAGTCTTAATCTTCCAGGGATTCTACCTTCATATCAATGCGATTGCTACACTGATCCGAGTATGATATGACGATTTCAATGATCGAGTGAACTATAGCTCTGTGGCTTGAATAAGTTTCAATAGTCTATTATACTGTAGTTCAAGACCCAGAGCTCCGCGAACTTCAGCCACGGGGTACTATTGAATAATTTCCGATCTGCAGAAAAATGGTGAACGGGAACTCACACGACACAAATTATTGCTCTACCGCCAGGACGTTCCAGAACAAGAACTGCTTTAGCAGAGGGTAAATTGACCCCCGCCAGACAGACCTGGAACTACAGACGGGCTTCGGTGGCTGATGGAAGAAGCGCTAGGGACCCAGTAAAAGGCTTTCGAAATAAAATGAACACCATTTGTGCTTGACAAATCACGAGAAAAATCTGAAACGAAAGGAAATAAAATACATCAATCAACAGCAGCGAATAATTTATTTCGGGTAAACATTCGGGTGAATTGAGTACATTAGACTACCAGAAGTACAGTTTGACAAAGAGCAGGACAGAATTCGAAATTCCTCTCCTGCAGCTGCAGCATACGATTTCCCAGTTTCAGAAAAGCTGAATATTTCAGGTCACCAGATTTCTCGAACAGATTTCAGGAGACAGCTTTTGGAAAGTATGCTCAAGAGCAATGCCCCAGACAATAAGTCAAGTTTCCGGAAACCACAGGTAGTACTAGATACAAAGAATAACAGGCATTGCTGATCAGTGACACATCTAAACGGAAAGAAATAAAATCGAAACATCAGCAGCAGTTCGAATGCATCGTAATATGGCGATGTGAACAGAGAAAACCTTCAGCACAATTTCTCTAAGTTGAATGTGTAGCCAACTAGATGGAAACCGACACACGCAACTTTTCAATAACTGTGCAATCGTGGGTTCTAATGCAGGAGAATGATCCAAGCACTAAAGTTTTCTTCTTCTGATAAAACGAGTACACATCTGGAAAGCCAACTGGTTTTCTGACCACAAAAGAAAAAAAATAAAACCAGAACCAAAAAACGTCGACGATTCAGTCCAATAATTACTTCTAAGCAACATTCACGGTACGATCATGAAGAACGAAGTAACGGCCAACGATACGCATCGTGCAAGGGTTTCGGATGCGGGATTTCCTAATGCGGCACAATACTCCGATGATCCTGCACTTATATTAGTATTCGAACTCGAGAGTGAATGGCTTCCATCCTGTACAAAAACGACCCAAAAATCCCCAGGAGGAATAATCCGAGAATGATCCGCACAAAAAAAAAAAATCTAACTCAGAGGAAAATAAAAAGCTCATGCGTGTACTGCACAATGAACCTCGGCTAAATAATGTGTCCAGAAGTTTCCTGTGAAACACTCAAAATTGCTTTCCATCAGGCATGATCCACACTCCACTTGTTAAAAAATCAAAAAAATCGAGCAGGGCTACTTTTAGCACAGGCATATGTTCTAACTGCTTCCACTGAACCCATCCACGTTTTGCCCCAAAATTCTGACTCATTCAAACTTTTGTGAGAGGAAATGAAAAAAAACCACCGTACATGACCTTCGCGCTCCATCAATCATTAACTGTACCAAGGAAAAAAGCACGAACCGACGCTACACTGCGACATCGACGGTAAATCAAATCGACACTTGAGAAAAATTTCCGCTGGCTGAGACTCATTTCTCGAGACCGCAGGTCAAGGAGAGGAGCATCCCAGTTTTCTTTTTTTTTTCGTGACAATACGGATAGATGGTCTCGTTCTTCAGCAGAGGTATTTACATGAGCTCGACTTCCTTATTCTCGTAACAGTAACACTGCGAGTCTACAGCGCGATTCTCAACGAATTCGCCTTCGAATTTTCGTTCAAGACAGAGCGGGCTAACTTTTGACAGGCTGGCTCAGTGGAGGCCCTTCCCTCAACACATGCAGCGTTTCAAGACCAAGAGGTGAGACTCGAATAGTCTGAATACTTAGAGCACTGGTGGCACAGTTACCGCAACTGCCAGGTTTCATTTCATTCCGCGTTCATTACCTAGACGAACAACGGCGCACGGGGATTGCGAAAAAGTCTCATCCGGTTTTCAATCTGCTAGGCAAATTGTTCTCAATCTTGGTTCCCGGAGTCCACAAATGGGGTATCTTCCTTTTGCTCTTGCATCATTTCAAAAAATAAACTTATAGTAAAATAAATCATTCATCAAAATAAGACATGGGAGGAGTCTTTCCGACCATTTGGGAAACCTAACATCTTGGGGGGAACATTCGCGAACCAACGGATCTTATTTTCGGCGGCGGCAGCGGCGACGACGACAACGCGCTGCTGCTCCGTCAGCAAGCGCAAACGAAAATCTTTTCCATTGGCCGCGCAACTCAACCTGTTTTTCTCGATTTCAAGATTTGTAAGGAGGGAAGAGGGAGTCTCGGTTGATACTTTTTTCAAGATTTCGCGACCGGGAGGGGACGCGCAACAGGTCAAGCAAGTTGTCACGCTTTCTTCCGGCACCAAGGGCTTGAACTGCAGCTTGGATCCCACAGGGTATTGAGAACGCACGTCTTAGAAGTGTGGGACTCCGAACTACCGAAGGTGAGTTTTTTGTCTTCTCATATTTTTTTTGTTCTTCCAATTTACGTTTTGCTTGAAAAGTTTACGTAAAAATTTCTTCGCACCCCTTTTTTCAAAACTCAAACCCCAGGTCCACCTTTCCGCTGCAACAGTGACCCCCCACCCCCCGCTTGAAAAACAATAAAAACGTCGCTTTCTTTTCCATTCAACAAGTATCAAAAATAAAATATCCCACGCGTCCTTCGTTCCCCGCACGCGAAAAAATATCAAATCAATTTGCTAACTCAACAAGAGCTTCCCTCCGACAATCGCTAACTTCGGGAGGAACAGCGTCTTCAGACAATGGGCAACCACGCCTCGTTAACACAGGGATAGGCAACACCGAAGAGTGAAGTTTAATCAACAATGAAACAATTGTCAAAAGGGGAATCATCCAAACGAACTGAACTCAGTTACTCATTTTGTACTATTATAATTTCTCCCTCGCCTCCAGAAAATGGCATTTATGAAAAAGGAAAATCGAGAGGAACTGAAAAAACGTCGTGAAGGATCACATCACTCGCTCTGATTTCATGCTTCGCGGGTACCAGCAATTCCAACTTCAGAAGATTTTGTATTGTTTTCTTACGTATCGTGCTTCCGGAACAGAAACTTGCACAACAGTCTCTCGTGGAGCAATTCTAACAACCGATCATGGAACACACAGGATGCAACGAGCATACGCAGCGCGCATTTCCAATACATAACAGACTATCACGTTATGAATACATCCACAATTCCAGCCACTTTCTTGCTTATCACGTTGAATTCCCAACAAAGCAACTGAAACGGTTCTCATGAGAGATTGTTTAAACAAGCTTCCCCTTCGAAGTCTAGAATGATCACTAAACATGGGCCCGTAATGACGGCAGTCTTGATCTCAAGTGGCTCAGTTTACTCGAATAGCACGGTGAGGCACTACGGCGCGAGTGACAACCGCAGAAGCCCGACGAGAGAACAAGGAAGAGGTACTCCACGACGAAAAACGAAAAGCGCGCGGACAGCACAAGGTTTTTCTTTCCAAACTTTCCCAAAATAAAACAGTAACAACCTCACGCACACATCTTCCCAACAATCAATGAGAAAATAATCCCGCGAATTCCGGGAGTCTTTCTCCACACAGTCTTCCGTCACTCAAACACAATGCACCGCTGATCACCGAATAGCGATAAGATCAACCCAGCTCTCCTCGACTCTCTTAACCCTCGAATTCCAACGGCTGCGACAGGTAAGTTAGTGGCTCAACAGAGGCAACGCCTTCTCCTACCCACGGGGATTTTTCGATGAACCGGTGATCAAACAAGCTGACTTCGCGATGCGAGCATAAATTAATTTTAAGCATTCAAACAAAACCAACAACTTCATCGAATAATGGAGTACTCAGCAGACACTTTCAAGACATATTCTGGACCTAATATCGCAACTTCTCTAGAAACCACACTTTCTGTGACGGCAGGCATCCATGGCAGACGCGGAAGGATATCTTCCAAATGAAATGGGGGTCAGTAACTGCTACTTGCAGTGCACTTCAGGGTTGCATTTAAAGAAGAAGCGTTTCCAACGACATAGGGGCATATTTCAGTAGACGTGCTTTACCAATATCTTCTTTACTTCGAGAGCGAGGAGGCCTGCTTTCTCTCATCTGTCTTCATAGGCACTCCCGCGAAATTTGTCAATTTATTGAAGACTGTTGGTCGGAGACTCGTTCGTGGGAGAGTCAGTGCCCACACGCGGGTTTCTGCTCCTTCCTCCTGAACCAACAGCACCAGCACCATACGCGGAAGCTACCATTGTTCTAACTCTTCGTTGAGCCGACTGAGGAGAAGAGGCGCATTATAAACAGAAGCACTTAGCGGAACAAGAGGTTTACACGTTACCTGAACAGCATAAAAATTTCCGATGATGTGGACAGAGACATCCTTTTCCTTCATCTTATCATCCTCGTTTTTCTCGCCCTGTTCGGGCACTTTTACGTTTGCTCCAGTATACCTTTGAAGCTCTCTGACATTTTGGCCACCTTTGCCGATGATTCGACCAACCTGAATTTCAAGGATTATTCTTATACAGAAACAGAATAACGATCTCCTCGGTAAAAGTAACAAAGCCGTCAAGAAATTTGGCGAATTCATGGTTCATTTTGGGTAATTGAAGTTTATCGTTAAAAATAATAAAATTTACTCATGGCACATGAACATACCTGAGAAGACGGAACGAATATCTCCACAGTCAAGCGGACCTCCTCCATACCATGGGAATTATATCCTTCTTCGCGCATTTTCTCGAAAATCATGTACTGGGCCTATTAAAAAATTTAAATCAGAAGATGCTTCATCACTCGAAAAAAACAAGAAACTCACCCTCCACTGCGCTTCAGGATTTCCGACAATCGTCACTTGACGCTCGTACCCAGCATCGACCTGTTGATCCTGGGCTAAGGGAGCAATTTTTACCGAAGCATTCGAAAATCGGATAATGCTGCGAATGAAGCTTCCCTTCGTGCCGATCAAAGCCCCGACAGCGCTGTTCGGGACGTACATGTAGACAGTTTCCTGAAAAATCGTAGAATGAAAGTATTTCAAGTTTTGAGAATACTGTACAGTACTTCACGAAAAATGATCCCACCTCTATCGAATACTATCAAGGGTTTCTTCAAACTTTTTAATTTGTTTCACCTTATCTATTATTATTGGACAAATGGATGCAAGTGCCACCCGTAGATTTTCTGATGCTGAAGGCGAAGATTGCCACAATATGTCAATAGGTTAACAGCTATTCGCACAAGGCAGCGCTGCAATCGAATCAATACTCAGCAAATGAACAAATACGCTTCAAGTTTCGTTGTTGATCGTTGTTTGGAGGATTCCGACACCAGAAGAAATTATTTCGAAAATGCTGAGAAAACTACCGAACCATTCCTCGTTCTGGCAACAACTTCACATCGACAACATTAGAAGAGATTTTAACGTCACATTGAGTAAAATTTACGTCAAACCAAAACTCTTTCCAATCCGCTTGAATCTCCGTGATTCTTCCATGAGTACAGCGTATAAGCCGTTAGAATCTCAAGATTATCTCAATATAAAGTTGAGTATTGCTACCATTAGTTCCATCGTAGGTTTCAACGAAGGAAACTAACTGGAAATGGACACAATGAAAATAGTACAGACCTCTTCGTTGGGCTAGAATCCATTCGAAACGGCACATGGAACGAGAAACAATTGAATTCTTATCAAAAATCGATTCCGACCTTAAAAAAATAAATTGATGATACCTCTTCATTTTGTGGAGCATGGGAATTGATCATTCCCGGAGGACCAGCGCCACCGGGATGCATCGGCGGGTACAATGTTTGCGGTGGCCCGTAGGGATGTGGTGGTCCCGGCGGTCCACCACCCGGTCCACCATAGAAACCCATCGGCGGACGAGCACCATAGCCGGCACCAAGCGGCGTGGACATCATGGTCATAGGATGGATGCCCGGGAACATGACGGCCGTCGGCGTCATTTGCTGGAGATCATTCTCGTAGCTAGCCTTGAGTTTCTGGCTGATCATTTGTTCGGCTTTCGAAATGTTTTCGATCGCGCCTTTGATCGTGATGACCCGCTCGTAGTTGAAGCTGTTAATGTCATTTATGCTGAACAATAGCGAAGGAAATCGTGGTAAGTTACGGGAAATTAAGTTGCACGCTTTGCGAACAGCGTCAATACCTGGAGACAGTGATCTTCGTGTCGGAATCTTGCATGATCTTCTTGATGACGTTCCCAGCCTTGCCAATAATGCGACCGATCAGGCTATTGTGAGCCAGGATTTTCAAAGGAATGTCCGTACTACTCGCGGAAGAATAGACACAGAATAAGAAACAAATAGCGGGCTCGAGTAATGGTCCAACGCTTTTATTTTACCCTTTATTAGTGCTTTTCGCTTCTTCTTGCATAACTTCCAAAATTCGTTTGCACGCATTGGAGCAGTTCTCGGGATTTCCGTAAATCGTGATCGCCTTCTCCATCGAACCCGAATTATCCTTGCGATGAACATCAACCCTGAGGATAAAAAAATCAAGATTCCATAGCTCGTTAGAAATGTCGGCAGCACGCGTAACAGCATCGACTCTTTCCAATCTCCCCTCTTCCACACTCAAAAGAGCATCCTTTCAACTCATGAAAGGACTAGGTTGAAGTTGAGAGGAGGGGCAAATGGAGAGAAGAGGAAATTCGCACTGTAGACCCGCGCGACAGAAATAAACGTCGGGGCCTACCTGGCACGCGTCTGCTGGGTGATATGGCGAATCGTACTCCCCTGACGACCAATAATAGCTCCCACCATGTCTCCCATGACTAGGATTCGGAGAGGAAAGTCGTTCTGGCGGGTGCCGGTAGCACCGTTAGCGCCCAGCACAGGCACCATCATCTTGTTCCGTCCAGAGTTCTTGCCACGCGATCCGCCGTTCTGCGACCCCGAACTTCCCTGGGCGTCGCCCTTGCCTTCGTCGCCGGATTCGTAACTTTGACTGAAAAAAACACAATAAAAATGCGCATTACGGAAAAGCAATCTACAGGAAATCGTAAAAAAAAAAAACACACACACCGCACCGATCACGAGAAACTTGACACCGAAGACATGCTGGTAGCTAGGTAGAATTTGATTCGATCAAGGGCTCGAACGGTGCGAATAAGAGAAACCATTCCCACTTTTGCATTTCTACGCGGCTAAGAACTCGTGAGCTTCATCGAAAGCAAGCGAAAACTCTTCACAAAACAATATCCAATAAAATCGTATAAAAAACAACACACTAAGATCTGGGAATTATTCGGAAGTGGATAATAAATTTTACTTTTCCATGCCGAAAAAAAACACGTGAAAATGATCAGAGTCCTTCAACGGGAACACCCCAAAAATTAATTCGACTCTCAAGGAAGAAATTCTCTCTTAATATTCAGTACATTAATGGAAAGCTTGGCTCATGAAAACTTGAGTCAAATCCGGCCCAAATGGAAGTTCTTAACGAATCATTAATCGTCTTAGATTGTATCGACACATTTAGGTTGCAGGGAGAATATCTTATTGGAATTAACTCAAAAATTTAGAACGCTGGAAAGGTGAACATGGTCTTCAATAAAAACTGTTTTTGCAAGGAAATGTTACGATAGCTTTCATTTTATGTAACATACCGTATGATTACGATTCATGGAACTAGTTGAAAACGCGGAACACACCAAAAAAGCTGCAATATTGGGAATATCAATTCATTTTCGCTGGCACTGTCCGGAAGTTTGCACCGAAAAAATATTTCATGCAATAGTTTAGGATTCAACTTTTTATAGAATTTCTAATGCGGCAGAACTCTTCATCTGGGGCCCCATGAAATTTATGAACTGTACTAAAACAGATAGATGATACAATTATCCAAAAAAGATGGATTGACCTAGTGTACGAATTATACCAAATCCTCATTTTAAATCCTCCTGGATCTAACAAGCTGATAGATAACAATTACGGATAAGTTAGGAAGAAAAATTGATCTTTGACCGGAAAGAAGACGACCTCATTCGTAAAATCACCAGCGATTCACCTCAAACGGAATGCTAAATTTGATAGAAATCGCAAGGAATTTCGTTCCGCACAATTGAAAGAAGGAAAACAACGGATAAATACCCCAGGTACACGAGTAGGTAATGCGAAATGTAACACATAGATTCAACTTCCCGAGCCACTGTCCGTGACCCGCAACAACATCAAGACGTTAACTGCGCGAGCCGAATTCACTCGAGCGTAACGTTCAAATGTGTGCACCGCTAAGAACTCTAGGTTTGACCGAAAGAACAAAAAAGCCTACGCATGTGTTACAGCAGTCACACCAACGACCTAAAAACAAAATTGCGCGTCCGCAGGAAAAAAAAAAAAGTAAAACACTGCACTTCCGCGTTTTTTTCCACCAGACGCGTGGTTTCTACACGATAGTGTTCCGCGTCGACGTGGCAAGCAGCGGAAAGATTTCGCGTCGCTGTCGAGAGAAGCCTAGGCTCCGGCATCAGTTCCGCGGACCACCTCGCGTCAGAAGATCCCAACGACGGGCGCGTCACGCAAGCACAGCACGCAGATACAAAAGCCCAACAAACTGATAAACACCAGCCCATAATCGCATCCCTCCGAAACGATTTTCATCCCATATCATCGCCGGGGCTTTTTCCCCCTCTCAACGTGAGCGAATCGTCGTCGGCAGCAGCAGGTGAAAATATCGTCCCCGCCCACGGAAAATTTCTTTTTCCCCCCTCCCAGACAATATTAGGCAAAATGAGAGTACGGGACGGAAAAGCCGCTTCAGTGAGATCCAGTTCGATAACAAGAGCACTCGGTCGTCGGGCGCGCGGAGAACACACAGAGACGCCAATCAAGTCGAATGCAAACGGAACCCAGCATGCGTCAACAACGTGCACCGAGTTCGTCGGCTCCTGACAAACTACTGCTCTTCTTCACAACGCGAAAAGAAGCAAAAAGGAACTTACCGACGAGTCCCAATCATCGATTCGTTTCCAATCAATTCCCCAATGCCGCGCAGAGCAACGATGATTACCTACGCCAGGCCAGTCTACGAAAATTCCTCTCACGGAAACTCTCAACACGCATAATAACCGGCATACGACCGAAACATTGTTTCGTGCTCATGCAGAATTGAAAGCATAAAAACACGTGCCGCAGAAAACCAAATGGAAACACGATGAAATTACAGTTTTCGTTAGATATCTTTACATCCGTCAACCACATAGGTTGACTCCGTCTAGAACAAAATTCAAGAAACCAGGAAAAAAATCGTTGTAGAAAACTCAAAACAACATATTTTTAGAAAGAGAACCCAATAAAAATCGTTTGTCAGAGAAATTAGCTGTAGAAAGGCACTGTAACATGGGAAGAGACCACAACACGAACAATGACAAATTCGTTATACAGTACAGTACAGATAAAATCGTTGTAGACCAGAGAATCTACCTGTGCTGTATTCATAATTGCCCACAATTACAGGTATACTATACATGGATGGTACGAAAGAGTTTCCCCGCACATGCGAAGGGAGTTTCGATAGTAATACGTTAACAGATGATCGGAAAAATGGAATCGTACATTCCGAAGTTTTCACTTTTCAATTTTCATCACTCGCGGAGGGCATTCTTAAATTTACTTTTTCAACGAAGCTTGAATTTTAACTCAAATCTTGAAGTCATGTTTCGTATTCCCTTTCGAAAAATTCAAGGATTCTGTAACTCAAGACATTTTTGGCAATACTGCGGAGCCTTACAACTACGCCCAACATTTCAACGTAATGTACTGAAAATTTTCAAGTATTATACAGTAGTACAGTTTCCTTTTTTAATTTTTTAGGTCAAATCAAATGCATTTTCCTTGTTTCGTTTCTTTCAAAATAGACTACGAACCTCCTCTAGAAACCCCTTACTCCTCGGAACACCTGAAGAGAACCTCTGGATTGAATCAACAACACAAACTACTCTTAAAATGAGTGGCAACATAGTTCCTCAAACGAATTATACGTTCAAAATCGATCGAGGGAGAATAAGAAGAAAATTTGCTGATTGAAGCCCGGGGGGGGGGGGGGGAAATCACTCGGTCATTCGACATTTATTTATTTTCTATCGTCAATGATGCGGCAAGAAGTCAGTAAAGAAAGCTCACAATCTTGAGTACCTCCAAAGTCTCACGGCACACGTGAGAAAACTACGAATCAAGAAAGAAAGTTTTTCGTTTTGCTTGCGAAGCAACGCAGACATTTGGCACACCCACAAAAATGGGAGTTCATCACAGTTGACACGAGCACGTCACATCACGAAACATGTGATACGCTGCATCAGTTCCATCCATCACATTTGTAGTCCCTTTACCGAACTCCCTTCTCCGAGTTTGGGGAGTACTGTACTGTAAAGGAGGGATTAACATTTCGTTCCCGGTCCATTCGTCTTCAACCTTCTATTCTCCCGCGGAACCGGCGCGGGTGAGGAAGCCAAGAGAGACACGACTAAGTTTTGGGGCCAGGTCACACTCCCTACTTCGATCGCTCAACGAAAACATAAGCTTCTCCGCGGTCATGGCCCTCTTGTCACCCCGCCACCGTGGTCGTTTCGTCTTCCGAACCAGACCCATTAGCGTAGAATGTTCGGCCTCGGAGAGAGAGAGAGAGAGAGAGAGAGAGAGAGAGAGGGGGGAAGAGAAGGAGAACACAGGGCCCACGACACTTCCGCCCGATTTTCAATGAAGCCGGATCAACTGCTTCACGCGGATGGAGGAATAACTCAGAAAACATCGATTTCGCTGCAGAATGAACTCGGAAATCTTACTTAAACAGCTTTCTACGGTATCCGCGAAGAATTCCATCGATGTATTTGCCCGAAGACAAAATAAGTTCTTCCGAGGATAATATGTGACAAGGTTCAGTAAACGCGTCGAGTGCCTGTTTTCTTTTCCTTCTTTCTAAAACTGCGTTAATCATCGATACTATCAGCAAAACACTTTCGTGGTCATACGATATAATTTGCACTCAGGTTAAGATTTTTGAACGATAATGTATTTCGGAGCGACAAAGCAGCAGAAATTACGCAGACGTGGAGTAACGCTACTTAATTTATCAAACATACAATTTATAGAGCCTATCTCAAAGTTAAATTCTATCGAAAGTGATTTCGAATTCAAGCAAATTCATAATTTTTTATTGAGCTCAAAGCTTCCAGTTTTTTTCAGCTTCGTCCTCGTTGAATTTCCACCCACAGTGCTTGCGCATTCATAAAAACCTAGCATGCAAGGTACAGTATTACGGTTATTAGTTAGAATTTCGCCGTTTTTAGATTAGCGGATGAAATCCGTCACAGTTTAGGTATTTAAATCAGGTCATGTCAACAAGATCGCGACATTTCCAGTATTATGACCAAAAAAAATGCGGAGAGACTCGACGAAAGTGGCGTGTTCCAATTCAAGACATAAGCTATGCAACCCTCAAAGAAAATTGTGTCAATGCAAGGAAAGTCGCCCGCCACCTTACGTCAGCAAGACTGATCGCAGTGGCAGTATAACGGGGATCAGCAACGATCCTGATTTCCACTACCCACACACAAACACACACACACACACACGGAAGGAACCATTTCATATGAATATCGCCAGCATACAGTTGCCACGCGAAGCGAAATGGCGACGCAATGACGTCATCAGGTTTGGGAGGAGGAGGGGGGGGGGGGGGGCCGACACCCGCGGAGGCAACAATAGCTACTGCAGCAAACGACCAGCAGCAGCAAGACAACAGCCAAGAAGATGAGAGGGGGAAAAATAAAATGAAAATATATACTGTACTGTACTATATAGAGCACAAGTCGTTGAGCAGAAAATAAAACGATTCCAGAGCAATTACCGCCGCCGTACATAGCAAGCCGGCCGGCGGCTCACCCAACCGCATCGTCGGGAACGCGCCAGACGGTCGCTGCACTACAGCAATGCGGTTCTCGGTCGGGTAGTACTGACATTATATATCCGCCGCTGAGAAGTGTCCCGCGTTCATACACGGTTCAATGATTCCCTGAATGCCGCATGCCCGAGAATACGAACAAGTCGTTTCCAGTCAACTTGGTCGGTGAGGTGTCCAGTAACATCAACAATGATTCGTGAACACGGAATCCCACGGTATCTCAAATATATGTACTACGCTTCGGTGATGAAGAATTGTCAGGTCAAGTAAAGGAATTTCCTTGGCAGGTTGGCAGCAGAAGAGCACAATTTCGGGAAGCCAGGCTGCGATTAAGTTTTTATTTCATCCTTTATGAAGACAGACAAGTCAATAACACGTAGAGAATAACAGTTGAAATCACATGCAACCTCTCATAATTTAAATGTCTTGAAGCATACGAACAACTGACGGATAATCGACAATTCGCAGTATATTTTCAACCGGAAATCTGTAGACCAGTGAAAATAAAACAACCAGGGTCTTAGTCAAATTTTTTCAAGTCACTGTCTTAATTCCCCCAGAAATAATGCATTGAAAAAAACCCCCAATTCAAAGGCTTTCCTTCTCAAACCTCCACAACTCGAATTTTCTGGAGGCCTTTTGGCTATTTTTCTCGAAAAAAAAACGAGAAAAAAAATGTAATCTGATGAATTTTGAAGGGAAGTGGCAGACTAATTGGGCAAATAAATCCATGACTTCAACTGCAGCATCCCATCAACTCATTTAATAAGCATTTCAAGGCCGGGAATACCACCAATTACAATTACCTGTGATTTTCTTCCCTTCAACCCCCAACAAAAATGCTCGATTCCCTGACGCAAAACCTCCCATTCTCTGCTGGTCTCTCGAAGTTAGACGGTATTTAAAAAACCTATCCATCCGGAGATCGCCCCGTGCAGAACTGGTTATCCTATCCTACACGGGCCGGCATTTTCAACGCATCACGCGTGCGTCTCATCCCTTCCAGCCTTTCCACTCGGGTCTCAGACCTCTTCGCACACACACACACACCAGTATACTGTACTGGTATATACATGCATCCCAGCAGCGTTTATCGCATCGACTTCGATACCGAGCGACTTCACATGACCACGGGCTACGGTTAACCCGCCACGTCGCCCTTCCCGGCTCCGGTACAAAATAGCATAGCCGCTCTCTTGGTGGGCAATTGAGTCCCTTCCGGTGAACCGCTCAAGGAAGAACTGCTCAAAAGATACCTCATTAGCTGTCGGAGAAAGCTTTTCTTGATGAAGGATCAAGAGCGAACAAGTGCGATTTTATATCAATGCAGTACATAATGAAAAAATAGTTAACCGATGATTTAGTGCCACAAATATTCTCCGAACAATTGCGTAAAAAGTTACCTTTTCAATAAAAAATAGTAACTTCGTGTCACCCTTGCTTAGGGTCAAGAAATTGATCTGTATTTCCCAACATAAGTTGCAGCTACGTAATGCAACCATGCTAAGGGAACCAGAAACGAATTTGTTAAGATGAGTTTTTTGTTTTTACAGGAGCTTCGCATTTATTCATTAGAGTTAATTGCTTCCAAACTTGAATTTGAAGTGAACTGTGAAGTACAGTACAGTACTTCCGAAGAATTTTGTAGGTACTAAAAAAATTAAGGGACTTTGA